CAAGACGTTGATCAGAATCTAAGTACGCAGACGGTTCATCTATAAGGTAGACGTCAGCTGGTTTGCCTAAACACAGCGTCAACGCTACACGCTGTAATTCCCCTCCAGAAAGGTTAAGAACCTGCAAAAAAAATGTGCAAAAGATAGTAGAAAAAAAATAATTGTACTGTAACATACTTATTAAATCAGTCTTTAAATATTCAGGGATGAGAATAGAAATTTTAATTTTCAATTGAAAGTAAAGCAGCCGGGGTCAGAGAACCGTAGTTGATCAAATCGTTACAATAAAGACACTGTGCCTTTCACCATTATCGCTGCATGAAACTTGTAAACAACGATCCAACGCAGCTAACAATTGAAACAATAAAATGGCGGCGTTGGTGAAAAGATAAATGAAAGCTCTTCACTGATTGGTCCATCAGAACAAACCCAGCCAATCATGTTAATCGTTACATATTACTTTTAACACTTCAAAACCACTTCGGATTTTACGATTGCACTGATGAAACAAGTCGCGAACATTCTGCATTGAAGACACCATGAGTTGTCTACATACACTGATACAGGTCTCTTGCAGCCGATAACAATGACCTGAAAGCGTGTTTACTTCCGGTGAATAAACACGATTTGTATTCTTAACCCCCCCCCCCCCACTGAAATTCAGAAAATCGATCCCTGGGGCTTAGAAATCCGTGGAATTTCCCTGAATATTAATGATATGATTCGTTGTTGCATAATTTGAAAGTAAACTGGTGAAAGGTAAAAGTATAGTGAAAGTCCAGCTATTAGCAACTGATAAAGTGTTAGCAGCCAGCTATTCACGACTAAGAAAGGGTTAGCGAAAGCCCGGCCACTGGTGGAGGCTTAGTGGAAGCCTTGCCTTGAATTTATTGGCAAGATTTGTTATGGTATTTAAACAAATTCATTAATAAGTTCTTAAATGTTAACTTTTCAAGACAATTAAAAACATCTGCACAACAGTACTAACAATCTGTGAAGGAGAGACATGGTAACATTTATAAATCCCCCACCATGAACCAAGCACAGCGAGTTGCTCAGTAAGGTGAATATCGCTCAGGGAAAAGTTTTAACTTTTATCTGTTTATAAGCCCCCCCATCCCTAATTTTTCGCCAATTTGCTGTTTTCCCAGAGGGGTTTATACTCCGACAACTACGGTAATAATATATGCAGTTAAAATATAGTTACCCATCACTCAGACTTGGTAAACAGAAACCCTCATTTGTGTTTTCATCAGTTCAATATTGTCATCATTGTGATGTAATACTCGTAGCAGAT